CAATTTGCTTATATTAAATTGTTCTTGTATCGTGTGCTATAAAATAAATGTATGAAAGAAAGATAGAAAGAGTGTGTGTGTGTGTGTGTATAAATGTATTTGTAGACGCAAATAACTGAAATTTAAGCGTGCGCAGTTTCAAGTATGAAGAAGACCAAGTTGAAGTAGAGAAGAGGAAGGCAATTTAGGACGACGACGTTTTCTCTTCTCTTCTCTTCTCTTCTCTTCTCTCTTCTCTCTTCTCTCTTCTCTCTTCTCTCTTCTCTTCTCTTCTCTTCACTTCTGTTTTCTTCTCTTTTCATTTACAACTTTGGCGTCGGCGCGACGCCTTTCTCAAAGTGAACGACGACCGACACCTTGGCGTCTCTTATCCCGATTTTGCTTTCTTAGCTTGGTATTCTCGTATGCTTACGACAACGAGAATACGTTTATGATAACGGTAATCTTAAAAGAAGAAGAAGAAGAAGAAGAAGAAGAAGAAGAAAATAAGACCATGGTCGTACAATTTCAAACTTCAATTAAAAATTAATAACTTCTTCATGTTCCTATCTGGACTCCTCTTACATTTTATTCAGATTTTTATTGTATATAATTTTTTATTGTTTTTTTTTTTTTAATAGGAAAACCATCACCTAAGTTTCAATTAACAATAATTAAAAAATATAATAAATTATAGTTTGTATGTTACGATAAAACAATCCTTAATGGTTAAAAAAAAAGAATAATTATTTTATACAGAAAGTGTTGTTGCTTAGGTAACTATGTGAAAGGTGCGCTAAGAAATGATTTTTCCTCTTCTTCTTCTTATTCTTTCTCTTCATCAGTTACTAGTAGTATTATATACAAAGTTTTTTACTGTTACGATCGGTAAATCTTTCAAGGTAGAACGAATGAATTGGTACGGATCCGATAAAAAGATTTTCATCGGTAGTCAGTCCCCCCCCCATAATATAACCGTCTCTTTCTTTATTCTCCCCCATTCTTCTTCTTCATCATCATCATCATCTTCATCATCTTCTCAGAGACGTGTGTAACATGCCCACCTCCTGAACCACAGTCACCGGATAAGTATGTGAGCTTCCATTGGAAGATATATGCCGACACATAAAACACAGACACGGGAAGAAAGAGACAGGTTACAAAAATATCCCCGACGAACGAACGAAGGAAAAAGACGGTCTTCTCAAAATCGTACGAAGGAAACGCGGAATAAAACCAAAGAGGATGATACCACAATACAAAAAATTATAGAAAGAAATTGAAGAAATGATTGTTAGAATATAACGATGGTTTATTGTAGTAGTAGTAGTAATGGTGGTGGTTTAATAAGAAAAAGGATTACGATATTTCTGTGTGTGTGTGTCCCACACCCTCGTCGGCCATTGTTTTTTCTATTTTTTATTTGACTTGTTATTTTCTGGTTTCCACACCAAGAACAACGATCTACTGGAATCGTGCGTAATCTTAAACGGTACAAGAAATCGTTTCACTTCTGCTAGCTAACTCAATCGTCTCTCTCTCTCTCTCTCTCTCTCTCTCTCTCTCTCTCTCTCTCTCTTTATTTATTTATTTATTGCTTCCAAGATTAACTCCATGAGATAGTTTCTTTTTTCATTTATCTTTCTCTCCGTACATGGATATATTTGAGTATCTTTTAATATCTTCTTTCTTTCTCTCTCTTTCTGCACAACGTATACACATCACTTATTATATATATAAAAAACATATATAACGCATATATGTATATAAAAATGCATGACTGGTATGAATGTGCGTAAGCACCGACTTGTTGTTTACATCCGCTTTCGTTACTTTTTCTCTTCTTCTTCTTCTTCTTCTGTAAGAGAAACTCGCGAATGGCGGCGGCGGCTTCGTGCTTTGACCAAGAGAAACAGAGAAAGAATGAAAGAAAGAATGAAAGAAAGAAAGAAATAAAGAAAGAGATAGGAAAATGGCGCAGGTTCTCTCGTAACGTTGTCCTCTTCTCCATCATCAACGATCATGCTGTATAATCCATCTAAATCCCTTCCCTCCTTGCCCCCACACCCGACACCGTCTTTTCCTAGGTTTTCTATTAGACTAGATTTCAAAACGGATAACAAGATTTATCTATATCATAATGATAAAGAAAAATCTATCTTTGTGTACTATATTCCTTATCGTCGCGATGAAGAATAATCTTATTTCTTTATTATTATTATTATTATTATTATTAGCAGCAATAGCAGCAGCACCAGCATACATATTACAGTTGTACAGTATTAGAGTTCAGTTCAGTTGAATCAATTCAGTTCGAAAGCATTATAATAAGATGAGAACGAAATATCGTAAATCTCATTGTGGTTTATGTTAGATAAAAAGAAAGATAAAAAAAAAAGAAGAAGAAGAAGGAAGAGGGGTTGGTTGTGAAGGATTGAGGGATGTCGTTGGTCTGTGGGTGGAGAAAGAGGAGGGAAAAGTTGCGGGTGAGGAAAAAGGGCTGTGAAGGAAGAGTTAAAAGGTTTTTTTTGAAGCGACAATTTTTTTGTTTCTTTTCTATTTTCTTCTCTTTTCCATGCTTTCCACATCATCATCGTTGTCATATAGTTGTCATAGTAGTAGTAGTAGTAATCGTGTGTCGTGTTCGATCGAACAAGCTGGGCAATAACGACGACGTCATACTCGTCGGCACACACACACACACACACACACATATATATATATAATACTCTTTCTCTTTCTTTCTTTATTTCTTTCTTTCTTTCTTTCTCCTCTTTGCGACGTACCGGCGTCGGCTGGTGACGTTTCGACGACGATTTCCGTGCTAATCTCTCTCTCTCTCTCTCTCTCTCTCTCTCTCTCTCTCTCTCTCTCTCTCTATTTCTCTTCGTAGCGTGCCCAATGTTCTCTTTCTCACTCTCCCTCTCTCTCTCTCTCTGAGAAGAGATATCGGCGTATACCGTAGACACACTATTTAGGTCAGTATTTTCAAAGTTTCGTTTGAACACGAATAATCGGATGAAATGGATAAGAGAGAGAAAAATAGAGAGGAAAATAGCTTTACTCTGTGTTCCGCCATTATTATTCGTTATTTTTGTAACTAGTTGACTGACAATATGAACACATACGCATATATATTACATGCCTGCTAAATAATAAATCTGTTTTATTACATTGTCTTTTATTTGTTTGTTTGTTTGTATTTATTAATTTTATAGATGATATATATCATTTAAGATTGTTCGCAATCTAGTGTCCTGTAGGGGAAAATTAAAATGACATTTAAATAATTACTAGACGTAGTTTGTTTGCTGCTACTGCTGCTGGTTCCACCGCCGCATATGCGTGCGTGCGTGTATGCGTACGTGTATGCTATGTATATGTATGGATTGTATAAAAATATCTCATCCAGATCTTTAGGTGGGGCCCTTGGTTTTCTTCGAAGTATTTTAGTTATCTTCTTCTCTTTCGTCGTCCTACTCACTCACTCACTCTCTCTTTCTCTGCTTCACGTATAGCCTAAAATTATTTTTGGAATAGTCCATGTTGTCTGGTATCATCTTCTACGTCGTTGTCGTCGTCCCTCGGTTATTGTCGGTTGGTAGGATTGTCGAAAATATAAGGAACGTTTAGAAATCTTTACATACACACACACACACATACATATATATATATATACAGCTCGTACTGACACACGAGTTTCTTTTCGCATGTTCCCTTCTTCTTCTTCTTCTTATCTTATTGCGTTACACGTATGTATAGATATATATATATATATATATATATATATATATGTGTATGATGAGTGCATATGTGTCTGATCGGTTCAATGTGTGTACCGCCTTCGCCATTAACAATTGGCTTTAAGAGACACTTGTTGCTTCTCGCGATGGGTTTCTCTCTAGGCCTAAAGGCGGAATAGGCGCGTGTTGTTCACCAGCTCAAACCCAGGGTCGTAACTAAAACGAATCCATATTTCCTTGGGGAGAGGGACGACAAAAAATTCGTAAGAATTTTTAAATAACACTAAACGTAATCTTTTCTTTAGATTTAATTATATTTTTTGATTTTCTTCTTTAAAAAATAATACTATATATGTATATATATATTATAGGTTATTCATTAATTTTATCATCGATGATTATAATATGTTTGATCGCGGATAATATATGAAAAAAAAAAAAAGAAAAAAAAAACAAGGAATTAAAAAATAAGTAAGATACTCTTCTTCTTCTTCAGATTTAATAATATTTCTCAAGTCTTTGTATAATATAACTCTTTCTCTTTCTCCTTTAAGTGAAGAACAACTACCAACTTCCGTGGGAGAGCTAAGCACGGTTATTGTCGAGTGATTCAGCATAATCTTTGTAGAGAGAGAAAGAGAAATAAAAAGAAATAAAAAGATGGTTTAATCGGCGGCGCATTGCGATACGATAAACGGCGCGCGCTCGTTTCAAATCTTTCGTCATTTTGTTTGTTAGAAAACAAACTATTTCGTTAGAGAAAAGTGAAAATATTAATGAATCATAAAGAGAACACGTTGATAATATAATTAATTAATCGATAAATAATTTAGTTATTTGTATTATTTAAATATATGAATCGTTCATTTTTACGATTACTTTTTCAAATGAATCATTAAACGTCGTTAATAATATTTTATTGAATAATAATTCGCAGAAGTTTCTGTACAAAATTGTTACAGAATAATTGATATATCCGTTCATTTTCGGCGCCATCTTGCATTCAAAATTTCACCACCATCTTGTATGTAAAATAATTCGGCCATTACTTATTTCCTAACCTAATACGCAATGACACCCCCTCGATTCTTCGAACACTAATGTAAAACGTTGAATTATTACGTGTTGCTTAGTAACGAAATTAAAAGCAAACAACAGACTTATAAATTCATAGAAATAGTATAGTATAGTATAAAATAGAAGTATGTAGAATTGTGTGTTTTATATTGTAGTAGTAGTAGTAGTAGTAGTATCGTGTGTAGTATTGTGAAATTTCCTTTCGTGTAGATTCGCAGTTATATGACGGGGCCCCCCAATCATCATCGGAGTCGTTATTAAATTTTTTATCGAAGAAATAAATCTCTTGGCAATGGTGCAATAATCTTATATTATTAATCATTTTTCTTCTTCTTCAAAAAAAAAAAAAAAAAATCAATAATATCTTTTCGAAATTGTCTTGACAGAAAAAAAGAAGTAGAAAAAGATAAACTTTTTCCTTTACTTGTTCGCGCGCGTTTTCTTCTTTGTTTTGTTTTGTTTTTTGTAACATTCGATCGAATTTATATGATTCCATTGAAAATGCATTATTATGCAGGCAACGTTGCATCCGTGTGTTGTAATCTCTGACGTATCTTTATGGCCGTTGACATCGGGGAACGTGAGAACGTGGGCGAAAACTCGTAGGTAGGAAAAATAAAAGAAGAAAAAGAATTATCAGCGAATACGCGGAAGCAAGCAAGCAGCACCACCAGAGTCGAGTTCGGTGACGGAAATCCCCTTACCCCCTTGCACCACCCTCCCTCACCACCGGTCGTATATACGCGTCATATTTTTTTTTCTTTCCATTCTCATTTTTACTTTTTTCTCCCCTTCCATTTTTTATTATTATTATTTTTATTTTATATCATTTTCTCTTATGTTCTTTAAAAAATTGAACCGCAATGAAATTATTCTAGGATTATTCCTGGATAATCTAATAAAATAAATAATTGTTTTTGAATGGTGCGAAATATATAACATGATTATAAAATTTACATTAAAAATGTACAAAAATTGTATATTGTAAACAATATAAGTTAAGTTTTTTTAACACGTTAACAACAATTCACTTAGGGAAGGCAGGGTATTGGATTCTTTTATTGAGGGCCGATGAAGTCCTCCCGTTATTTTTGGCTTGCAACGTTATTTCAACCAATAGAAAGATACGAGATAAGATAAGAAATGATGACGTCATTCCTATGATATACTACAGTCTAAGTATATACTTATACAGTTTGTTCACTACGAAAATTGTCGATTATTCCTTCTGGTAGAATTTCCTTTGGGTGTGTTGATTCATCGTCACCATCATCATCCTTTTCCCGTTCTTCCTTCTTTTTCTTCTTCTTCTTCTTCTTCTTCTTCTTCTTCCAAGAAACGACCGGAAATCGCTGTCGCGCGTCTTCCCGCGCTTCTAAAAGCGCCACGTGCACTGCCTTCAGAGATATATAAACTCCATCTTGAAGAAATAATCCTTCTATGCGTGTAGAATAGTTCTAACAAACTATAAAATAAAAAATATTTATAGGGGGGAGGGGTGGGGAGGGCTAGGGGGAGAAAAACCCTCCTAATTTGTATTTGTATCGTTTATTACAACATATATATATCATACTTTAGTATCATAAGTGAATCCTAATTCGTATCGAATATATTAGCATGTATTTTTTTTTATTTGTTAAGATTTTATTTTTTTAGGAATTAATTTTTTTTTTGTTCTTTTTCCGTCAACGAATACCCAGTATTCAGATGACTTTATCTTTACCAGAATAGCATTTACTCTTTACTAGTACAAAACAAATGATGCTACTTGTATAATTTGCGTATGTGTCTATGTGTGCAATAAGAAGAATGGCATATACTCGATGCGATTTATGAAGAACTCGCTCGCTCGTGCGTGAAGTCGCTTAAGCAAACAGGTTTACGCAGGTTAAGCAGGTGCAATGACCTCGTAAAGGTTGCTTAAAAATATCTCAACACCATCGGCCGTTTCTCACTGTTGTATTCCAATCCTTCCTCTTCGAACAATATTTATAGATATATAACTTATGTATATATTGTACATTGAAATGATTAATAATTAGGTTATGCGTGATATTTCAAATTTGTCGTCAAAGATTCTAACTTTTTTTTTATTTTATTTTATTTTAGTTTAGTTTAGTTTATTTTGCATCTTATTTCTTTTAGTCGATAGTCATCATAACGTTATATTTTAAATTTAATATCGATACCTCGGCACGGTAAAAAGTTCTTTTTTTTTTTGTCGTATTCTATTTTATTTTCATTTATTTTATTTTGTATCTAATTTCTTTTTTTTTCTTTTTTTTTTTAGTCGATAGTCATCATAACGTTATATTTTAATTTTAATATCGATAACTCGGCACACGGTTAATTTTTCTTAATGAAATTGTTTATAATTCTCTTCAGCATTATATTAATTTTTATCTATATTATTTTTTTTCATACGTCAAATATTATTTGCAAGCTTAATATTTTTGCGTAAATTACAATTTTTAATATTCATACCACGCATGTTGTCATTATCTGTTTGGCCTCTCTTTGTTCAATAATTATAAATAATTTATAAGCGAATTAACACGTACGAAAGATATCAATAGACATCTTTACCAATTGTATTAGTAAATGTATTAGGAAATTCAGTATTGTTATTATTATTATTATTATTTTTAGATTTGTTAATAAGTAGTTGATTAATTTTCATGAAGTTATCGGAACCAATGAT